AATAAATTTAAAGCAGTATGAATAACAGGAAGTTCCATTTTTTAATTGTCATACTTTGTTATTTATCATATTTAGGTAAAAAACATAAACATTGTGACAGTTCTATGGTATTTTTTTAAGACAGGATCTTGCTATGTATATAGCCAAGGATGGAAGTTGAGATATTGTTGCCTGAGCCTCACAATGTTGGGACTTTAGGTATCTTTCACACGCAACTTTTTAAAAGAATGGTATTTAGTGAACAACTTAACTTTTGCTAAGGATGATCCACTGTTGTGATAAGATTATATTATGTACATATATATGCATATATGACACCTCCCCTTTTATAACTGGGGGTCATTGTCATTTCTATATTGTTTGATGGCAGAAAGGCTACTTATGCCTCTGGCTAGTGAATGGTTTGCAAGTTCTAACAAATCCTTCCGACTCCGACTCTTAGGTAGTAGTAGTTAACTCACAGGAAGAATTGGAATATTTGTAGAAACAGTTTCATATTCTTGGTGTCATTACCACAGAGCATTAAACACAACAAAGTCCTGCAGAAAAATGGCCATTCACTGGCCAATAGAGTCTGAAATCACAGCAGCAACAGAGGAATCAATCCCCGTGAGACTAAAAATACAACCCCAGAGTCCCCACTGGTGAGAAGTCATCTCCAAACATAATCCTTAGAAACAGCAAACCTGGATGTAGTTAAATAGTTTCAATTAGCAGAAATATTAGCATGTGATTTGGTAGCTTCATTTCCTCTTTTTCCTGAAAAGCTGTATCTTCTGTAGTACACGGTGAAGTGAAGTGGTATAACCAGAAAGTCCTAGTCTTAACAAAATGACAGACCAAAACCATGTCATACAGAAAGTTGAATTATTATCTAATACTTGAGATAGCCCTTTAAAAAGCTAACTCAGTAAAACTGGCTTTTATTTTTGGGGTTTTATAAATTCTTTTGGTCTTTTTTTTCCCCAGGGTCAAATAAAGCAAGTATTGTTTTTAATGAGAGGGTGAATAACACTGCTGGCTGTAATAAGGGTACTGAAAATGTTACAAACAATTAGATCTCTTTGGGGAATTTCCGAATTTTTAGATACTGCTCAATTACCTTGTTATAGAAACACTCCAAAGATGCTAGATTTGGAATTTAACGGTATTGTGGTTCTGTCCTTACCTCACCGCTTTCTACTCCCTGAATCTCTCTTCTGGAGTGTAAATGACGGCTAACAATATCTAAGTCAAGCGTTGAAACAGAACAGGATGTTACAGCCTAGGACATTCTGAGTGCTCAGTTAGTCACAGTGCTAGCTGTCCCTGAGTGCCACAGGCCTCCGTTGGAGATGGTGGAAGGCAGTTGGACCGGGAAATGGCATATTTCTCAACTTTCCCCCAGCATCCTTCTTTGAAAGTAGTCCACCCATGTTTGTTAAACTACTTTCTATTAACTCTGTCAATAATAAGGGTGAGCTATTTTGACTGAGGAGTACCAGATTTAACTAAAGTGATATTAAGTATTTCACTGCAGTTTGAGGGACTCCTCATTTTCACTAAAGGACAACCGCTATTGCCTATGATACACTGTAACTACAGAAAATTCCATTTACAATATTTAGGCAGGTTCGTCTGTTACTTGAAGGAAAATATGTCAGCAAAAGTTTTGAAACAGTGCACAAGTGGAAAAACGAAGTGAGGCGAGAAATGAGAATGATCATCTCTGATGGGCAATGGATCAGAATATATCTGTGTCCAAGAATTCGATTCTCTACATACAGAGGCTGAAATCCAGAGAGGCACTAACAGTCTTAAATCAGGAACTGGGTAGTCTTAAACCATCTGGATGACAAGGCTCAGAGACCTTCAAAGCCCCCGTGAAAAAGATTGTTTTCTTTTTAGCTTCTTTGCCTACTGCAATTAATGCTGTTTAGTGTGCACTGTCAACTTTTAAAAGAAAATTAGCCATCCAGCCGCCCGTAGCCCATTGGCATGCACTTCGGAATATTCCTTTTAAAAAATAAATTACGTGCAAATGCGTTCCGATTACCCTTTATCCCCAAAGTCGCTCCAGAATCCAAAAATCACGCTCAAACTATATTCAAGATGTGCTCACGAAGGCCCAGACCCCGAGGCAGGAGCATCATTCATGTGTCAAGTTCACACCCTCCTACAGATCAATTTCAGCCGAGCCCGGAAAGTGCATTATGATTTCTTTATAATGAAACCCAACATATCCAGAAAGAAATCAGTCAGTTTCCACGGACTCTGACCAGCAGCTAGTTTCACCGACCCCGTCCAGAGACGGGGGTCCCTCCTCGGGAAGGTTGGCATCCTTTCGGTCCGCCTTGGGCGCCGGGCTTGGCGCACCAACTGTCCTCGCGGGTCGCAGCCCCGCCTCAGCGGCCGACCAATGGCTGAGGCCTCTCGCCGGGCCATCCCGTCTTCCGGTGTCACACCAGCCAATAGGGATGGCCGTATGGAGCCAGCAGCCAATGGGAACTCGGGGAGGCGGAGACCGGTCCTCCCGCGGTGGAAGCTGGGCCTCCGCTCCGTTGCCCGGGAGCCGAGGCCGCCGAGCCGCCGCCCACAGCCGCGGTCCCTTACAGGGAGGGATTTCAAACTCCCCGAAGCCGTAGCGTCCCGGTACTCCTCGCCTCGGGCCGTAGCTGTCGGTCGGGCTCGGGGCTCGGGCCGGTGATCTAGGCAGGAGCGGGAGGCGTCCACTTGGAGGGTAAGGGGCGGGCCGCGGCCGAGAGAGGAGGTCTGCGGCCGGGGGATGGACGTGATGGGGGTGTTGCGGGGCGGGGCGGCTGATGCGGCACCGGGGCGGAGCCGGAGAAAGTTAGGCGCGTGGGGTTTGTCAGCCCCCAAAGCAGGAGGAACGTGCGGTGCAGGCAGATCCAGAGAAGGGCGAAGTTAACCAGAAAGAAACCTCTGGAGGCTGGTGGTGATCCGGAGGGGTGGGCGTGGAGCCTCTCAGAGTCTCTGGGACAGGGTATTATTATTACACTGTCATTAAGCGGGAAAGGCACTTTGGCCCAGGCTATGAGTTACTTTTAATATATCCTTGAGGGATGGAATGTGACGAATAAACGTAGTTAGCCAAACCTACCTGTTGACATAGCTGCGTTGGGGTGGGGTGAACAAGGGGACAGTGTTTCTCCATGTGAAGGGCCGGTCCAGTTCACCTGAATGTAAACTCTTACTCATTTCGTGGGCTCGAAAAGTAATGGCATCTATCAAGCGGCAGTATTTTTTTTCCCCCGGTGAGGGGGTGCAGTGAACAGCAGATTCGTTGTGAGGATTCATTTTATGGAGGTATTTGTACCTATGTTTGGGTGGTGTGGAGGGAAGTTTTATGGAAGTAGATTTTCTTTTAGGATTGATTTTGTGTCTTTTCTGTCACGAACCAGCCAGCCCCTGTCTGCTCATCTCCACCCCGAAATTTGAGGGTCTAAGCTCATCGCCCAAGCAGAGTATGCGTGACCACATACATGTTTATGCCCAACCTATGCGTTCAGGATGAGATGTCTTTGGGATCAAAAGTCATCATTAGTTCAGCAGTTGAGAGCACTGACTGCTCTTCCAGAGGACACAGGTTTGATTCTGTGAGCAGCTACATGACTGCTCACAACTGTTTGTAACTCCAGTCCTAGGGAATCCAACGCTCTCTTCTGGCCTTCTTGGGCACCGGGAATGCACACGGTGCACAGACATAGCTTCAGGCAAAACACCCATACACATATTGATAAATAAATAAATAGATAGATAAAACACCCATACACATATTGATAAATAAATAGATAGATAGATAAAACACCCATACACATATTGATAAATAAATAGATAGATAGATAAAACACCCATACACATATTATAAATAAATAAATAAATAAATAAATAAATAAATAAATAAATAAATAACAGGCATCGAGGAAAAAGGTAAATGGAGGTTTCGTTTTTTGCCCATGCTCATTAATCTGTATTCTTTCTATCCTCTTTCGGCACTCCAGTTTTATATTATCATTTACAATATTTTGCCCTGTGAATGGTTGCACATTGGTTAATGTGTTTATTCAAATGTATGACAGGAAAGACTAGTTTGCTTGGAGTCTTTTAAGTTGATAAACTGTCATTCAGATGTCAAAAATCAGTTGAAGCCCTTGGAGAAGAGATAATTCCCACAGCTGTATCTCTTTAAGGTCACCGAACGAATTCTGTAAGACTTGCTAGAAGACTCAAGCAGTCCCCTTCTGGTCCTCCTTTCTGTTGTCAACCCTGGAGTCCGGACACCCTCTTCTGCCCACCACAACTTAATCTTCAATTATTTCTTCTCATTCCATCCTTCTTGGCCAACTCCATCCTTCCTGTTAGCTCCTACCATCTATAACCCCCAGTTTTGCATCTCTCCAACTCCTATGTAGGCAACCTTAGGTATTTCCACTCAGATTAACCTGCCCATGGGCACCCCAAACTCAGTATGTCTGGTAACTGACAAACCCCATGCAGCTGGATGGTATATTTGCATCTAGTTTTACAAGTC